TAAGGGATGTGGACCTCCAGTTCTTTGGAATTGAAGTCCTCTGCTTGAGATTGAAATGAAGTAAAGGAAGAGACCCGTATCAGTAAAATGTATAAATATTTTTAATCCTCTGCCGGCAAATTTAGTAAAATTTAGTAAATTTGGAGATAAATTTACTTTCTGATGAAAGGCATAAAAGTGAATGGGAACAGCTACATCAGTCTACCCAGTGGTGTGCAAAAGAATAAGAAAACCCATCAAACCTTTAAACTTTTAAGTGTTGGGCTTTAAGTGCAGTGAGTGAGCTCAGGACAGAATGTAAAGTCATGCACCAGAGTCTTCTGGTGCCACAGTGGTTACACAACCAAGTTGTTAACTGTTCTTTCCAATCCCTTATGCTGACCCCAATTCAAACTGACTCTTGACTTTATTTTAACTGAATTTCGACAGCATTGTACTTTGCAGTGATGATTCTGAGCTGTGAAATGGCACGTATGTTGTCAGAAAGGAAGTTCCTCTCTGTGCTCTGTATAAACCAGAGGCAACTTCTTAAGCAGTAACAGGAAAACACTCAAAATTCCAGCCAGTCCAAGGACAAACTGTGATCTTCCCCATCAGTCAGGTCAAAAATATTATTTAAGATCTGTCCTCAAGGGTTGCAAAGATCAGAATCTGCACAGATATAAAGACTAATTTTTATTCCTGGAGACTTTATGGAAATAAATTGGTAGCATTTTAATGGGGCACAGCTGATGCCAGCTGTTTGTAGTGAAATTGTTCTTATCAAAATCCATGGTTTTTGCCAATTTTCCTTCCTATCCCACCAGAGGGGGAAGGGGTAGTGAACAACAAACTGTGTGATACTTGGTTGCCAGCTGGGGTTAAACCATTCCTCTGGCTCCAGAATCCCAGGGAAATTCTAAATGAAACTAGACCAGCTGATGGCTGGAATTATTGTGTTCTTATTGCCAACACATCTTTTGAAACCTTTTCCCATTTTGTAACTGGAAACTTTATTGAGCCAAGCAAAGTTTTCTTAATCCTTGGCTAAAAAGAACTCCTTCAATTCTGAAGCTTTCCTCCAAAATAACCAGTAATTTTTAAATCTGTCTTGGTTTACCTTGAAGTCAGTTAAGGAAACCTGTATCTACAAAAAGCTGAAATATTTGATTACAAATGCTGTATGTTTTTATCTTGCTCTAGATGTCTTACATTAAACCACTGGTTCAAATTATGTAATGAATTTGATAGTATCACAGTTTTTTAGTAGTTCTTTTTACAGTGCTAGGAATTAAAAATATCACATTGTTTGAACAGCATTCAACCCTCTTGGTTATTTTACGTTTTAAATACATCATGTTTAAATATGTACTTAATTCTATTTTCTCTTCTGTTTGAGTGAATAGATTATGGAGTGGAAATCTTTAGCAATTTAATTTTGAAAATCTTTGTTTTCCTCTGTCTATTTGTCTGTTGTGGTTCTGAGTTCTAATAGAACACCTAGTAGTGGTATAATACTCTAGCAAAGCTCACTTTTTATCTTAGTAAATCGGTATATTTACAACCACCATTATTCTAAAGGAGTAGTTCAATCTGTAGAACACAGGAGAATTACAAAAAAACAAATTAAGACTTAGAAAATATGTGAAATCCTAACATTTTAATTTGGAAAGACTCCTCGGATCTTCTTGCAAAGTCCTCTCTTTCCACGTCAGAATGGGCAATGAGAAAATGAGGTTTAGAAGTGTTATGGTAAAAATGAAAGCACTCTAATTTCCTAATCTAATTTTAAATATCGAAGTGCCCTATAAATTACACTGGCAGTTTTAACTTTCTTCCTTCTTAAAACTCGTTTATTAGTCAATTATTTTTCAGCGAAATAATTCTGAAAATTCCCTTTGTAATCCAAATTCACTGTCAGGTCAACACTGGCTTTGGATTGGTGTTTTTAAGCCTCGGTAACACAGCTGTACTTTGACCTAGAAACCTATTTTGGTCTGGTGGTTGTAACAGCTCTTATTTAAACATCTGTCCGCGGTTTCTTTCACACGCGAGTATTTGCTCGCGATCGAAACGTTGCTGTCGAATAACACAAAGGCTCGGAAGAGACACTTGAAAAAAAATTTTGCAAGGATCAGGGGAAAATCATGACTGGAGGAAGACACTGGATCGGTCTCTTCCTGGTAGAAGATGGTAGAGTTTGTAGCTGATTCGTGCCTTGAAGGAGGTCCTTCACTGAGCTCCTAAAAAACGTCACAATCGACTGAGTCCTCACTGCCAAAGCTCAGTTTCCCTCCTCTGTCGTCAAAGGCTTTTCATCCTCCGAGGAGCCAATGAAGTCATTCCTACTTAATTATTCCAAACAAACCCTTTGGGCTGCCCTTGGAATTGTTTTCCGGGCGCCACGGACGGAATTCGGCGAGAAATAAATTTAGATAACGGGCCCAGCAGGAAGTTTCAAAGGCAGCAGCTCCTGCAAAGGATTGTCCAGAACAATCTGCGAGGAGGATGGGTTTGGCGTGGGGATTTTGAGCTGAAACAGTGCAGGGAAGGAAGTGCTGGTTGCCAGCTCTCACCACCATATGCTTTATTATAATGTGATGTACAAAGAACATGGAGGCAGCAGCTGCTCTGGAGGGAGGTGGCCGCTTGTTAGGTTTTGAAACCTTTCCGAAATGTCTGCTCCTTTTCTTTTCACTGGTATTTTTTTTCCCCCCCCGCTTACATATTTGCATTGAAAAGATGTTCCCTGAAAGAAATCTATTTTTAGGCCGCAGTAAGAACAGCAGAGTGTGATCTACTTTTTGCTGAAATAAAAACGATTTCGGAAGGGCTCTGCTATTTAGTTTTTTTATGTTGTGGGATGTGGGCAGCTTTTTGTTTTCTTGGTATCCATTCACATCAGGGCATGATGAAATCATACATATAAATCAATTATTGTCTAGGATTGTGTGTCTTTCATTGGTTTCCATGTGTGTTCTAGTGGCCTGATCTCATTCATATTTAAGGCATTTTTCAAGATTCACTGACTTCGGTGGCAGAGACAAGCAAAGCATCAGTGAGGATTTAGGTCTAAAATGGAAAAAGTTGGATGTGATATGGACAGAGGAATTGATCTTTCCCAGCATTTCCACCCAGGCAGGGAGGTTGATGACTGTTCCTTTGAGAAACCTGAAGTCCTTGGCATGTCTCAGGAACTATGTAGCTGCAATGCCATGAAAATGAACCTTATTTATCTAAACACTGTATTTTAAAGAGTATTTTTTGACTCCTAACCGAGAGTTTCATATCCTCTGAATGCAAATCCTTCCAGATACTACAAGCACTTGCATTTTGATTTAGAGATTCTTAAGTGAATGTGAGAATCCACTGGGAAGTTACATCATAATATAATGAGATTATAGTGGGACAAGTTGTTATAACAGATAATAAAACTAATATATCATATTGTCATTTTTACTGCATGCTGGTGTTTTACACTGACCCTGGAGTAACACTCAAATGCCATTGCAAGACCAGTGTGGCCCATATAACTCAGTAAAAATGATGGTTCACAGAGAAGAAAGATGTTACAATCCCTTTCGGGAGGATAAATCTCTTTGAGACAAAGATTTTTGGGTTATTCTGTGTTGTTCTCCACAGATGCATCTTTCACGAAAAAGAGGTGACATTAATTTATCTGTCACCAGGTATATGTTCTCTTGGTGATAGAAAGATGGTTCTAATGGAAAAAAAATTCATGTTTATTTGCTTACTTTAGTTCTAGAGCAGTCTCCTATTGTCTGTCTGACCTTCATTCTTCAAGCCAGCTGCAGTTGGTGGTTATCTGGAACACTTGCATACTAATGCTTACTTAAAAGATCCCCCTTTCCCTCTTGTAGCAAGAAGCCATATCTCAGCAGAATTACTGATTCTCAGCTTTAATCATTCCCTACATAAGCCCTCATCCCACTGAGGGATGACATAGGGAATTCCATTTACTTAGGAATCCCATTTCTGATGTAAACTGGATTTTAAAGTCTACAGTGAAACTAAACTTGGATTCTGAACATAGTCCTGCAAAATGTGAGGTAAATGTTTAACTCACACTGAAAATGATGACTTACAGTCTTGTCTTGAATCCAATCCACATCTGTTTTCAGTGCAAATTAAAGCTGTGAAATGACTTCTTGTTTTGGTTCCCATAAGAGAAGTTTTGACCCTGGCTTAAGGAACCCTTTCCTAATTCTAGTGAGCATAACAAAATTTAAGTTATCAACAGTCTATAGTTCACACATTGGGCCCTTTAGGTCGACCTGGAGTCTTGACAACACAGGAACATTTGGTTTGGAGTGTATTACGCTTCCAAGAAAGTTTGTACATGAAATGTTTGTTTATATTTTGGATGTGAAGGTAAAGCCTTCCTTGTCCCAGAAGGACTGAGAGTTATCAGGAGTTGCACAGTGTTTAGAGTACTCCATTTTTTTTTTCTAATACAAAGCATTTCTTGTCTGAAGCAGCACACTAAAGTGTGCTAATTCTAAAAATGGGTACTTTTAGATATAGACCTAATTTTTACTGCTGTGGTTGGATGCACATTTATTTTTACATAAAGATGCCTGCTAGGAAAGAAAGGACAGAACTTTCTTTAACTTACTGTTATAACCATGAAAATCAGCAAACCAGTGTAACTCTAAGCAAGGGAGAAAAGGAAATCCTCAGTTTGCAAGAAGTTGAATTACTTGTTTTTGAGCCTAAAGAAAATCACTTCATTTTTACTGATGTATTGCCCGACCATCTCAAGCTATTGAGCTGCCAATGGCTAATTTAAAAGAAAAGAAATGCAGGAGACCAGCGAAATGTTTCTCATTGTGAGCAGCAATGCTTCAAGTCTGTTAGAGCTCTGTGGATTTTTCCCCTGCTTTTAAAAAGTGGAAGATGTGTGGCTGCACAATTTCAGCTCTTAGACTGTATGCTGTAGCTTCATTGTCTCCTGCTTATTATCAGAGAAATCAATGTCTTAACTCTTTTTTTCTCTTCAGCCACCAGAAAAAGAGGGTGGGCTGCCTCGCCAGGTGGGCAATAAGACCGAGTGTGGCCTCTTGGGATTTGTCCTGGATTTGAAGCAGGATTATGAGCCTGTCCGGAGCCTCATCCCTGAGGAGAAGCTCTATAAAGTTTACACCTTCAACTCCGTAAGGAAGTCGATGAGCACGGTTATTAAAATGCCAGATGGCAGCTTCCGAATGTACAGCAAAGGGGCCTCTGAAATTGTCCTCAAGAAGTAAGTTCAGTGGATTAGTTGCCTTGTTTTTCTAAAATGCAAAACATTCTGACACTAATAAGTGGGAATTTTCAAATTTGGAATTTACTACTTCCACCAGAAATATGATACACTTTAGTAGTATAAGGTGTTAATGTTCTTTTTCAGGTTTTTTTTTAAACTGCTCACTCTTGCAAAATTGACCTGTTTTTATCATTGGCTGCCAAAAATTTGGGTCTAATTCAGTAGTTTACAAATGGATTTTTTACATTTAGCCCCTTTGGAAAATAAATATTTTTCAATTTCAATATAAGTTTTAAGCCCATTAATTACGTGGGTATTGAGGAAATAATGGATGAAGGGCACTTGGTGTCTCTGTAATAAGTCACAAACAAATTCCCTCTGATATTTCAGCAGTGAATCTTCTAGAAATTTCCACTAGAAACTTAAAACTATCCTTTGTATTAGTGTCAACTGAAATGAGCTGATACAGGAAGATACTTTTCAGTACTCATGCAAACACAGAATCAATCTTTTTTTTCCTTAAATACAACAGATGTTCCAGGATCCTCAATGCAGCTGGGGAACCTCGTGTCTTCAGACCACGGGACAGAGATGAAATGGTGAAGAAAGTCATAGAACCCATGGCCTGTGACGGGCTGAGAACCATCTGTGTGGCTTTCCGAGACTTTTCCAGCAGCCCAGAGCCCGACTGGGACAACGAGAACGACATCTTATCTGACCTGACTTGCATTTGTGTTGTTGGCATTGAAGACCCAGTAAGGCCAGAGGTATATCCAATTCTTACGTTGTAAAACGTTTCTCAGAGAGCTGAATATAAATTGAGTCACAGGTTTCTTACGGGTTTTATCTTATTCTTTTAAATTAGTTCCGTCAAAGAAGATGAAAGGGAGCTTTAGAAACAGGCTTTACTTGATAAAAGGCCAAATTACTAACCTGATAAAAATCAACTATCAATCAACAGATATTTAAATAAAGAAACATAGGGCTTTTTGAACTACAGGATGGAGATGACTTAAGCGTCTGTCAAGGAGTAGTGTACAGGAGGACAGCAGAAATTTTAATATGCTCCCACACATTAAAGAATTTTCCTTGTAGTAATTCAGTGATGTGCAACTCTGCAAGCAGAGAAGACATGCAGTGATTATAATTGCCATGACTATAAGGACAACATGCTCATTTCCTCCAGAAATTGGAGTTTTGTGGTTTATTGTAACAGTTGCCACTTTACTAATGGTCTTAAAATTGTACCTGATGACTACTCAGAAAAACTTGCTTTTAATATATTTGGACAAGGAAAGGCTGCCATGAAAAGGCTGAAGGTTTCATGGATACTGTGCTTAAATGGCTTCTATAAATACGACTAAAATTTCAACACAGCTCAACCGAGAAAATCAGTATTAGGTGTTCACACTGGAAGCATGTGCCTGCTACTACACTTGTAAATTATATTACTCAGTAGTACCAACGGTGGAATAGGAGGTAGGAACTGTTCTGACCTGTATATATATATATACAGGTCAGAACAGTATATATATATATGTGTATATATATATGTGTGTATATATATATGTGTATATATATATGTGTGTATATATATATATATGTGTGTGTGTGTATATATATATATATATGGTGTTTGATAATTAATGGTGATAGTGGAGAATTAATTCAGTTTTAGAGTTTAGAAGCAGTGACAGAAGGTAAGTCCCAGAGCTGAAGTGCTGAGTGTACAATCCAGGTGTTTCCACTCTCTTTGCTCTGATGCTGCTGCTACTTCAGTACACGATTAGTGGCTATGGTTTGCTTTGGAGTGAGGTCAGGGAAAGATAACTCAGATTTTTCTTGTCAGTTCTGATGCTGCACAAAAAGTAGTTTGTTGCCCATCTTTGTCTCTTTTGATTCTTCTGTCTCGTTTTACATCTTTGCTGGATCTTTTTTAACCACATCAGAATTTTTGTATTTGATTCACTGAGAATTGGTGGCAATTCTAGACACGTTAGAGTTTTATTTTTTTTTTTACTAAAACATGAAAATTATAGATTTTTCTGACTTATTTCCCTGAGTTCTTTATAAAGTAGGTTTTTACAAACTTGTAAGAGCTGTAACTTTGGGAACTAACACAATACAACTACAGGTACCAACATAACTGTTCTTTACCTGATAATGGACATTGCTGGGTGTATTTTTCAATATCAAGGTTATAATATAAAAAAAAAAACCCTTGCTTAGGTGAAAACTGTATGATAAACTCCTTATCTCCACGAACACCAGCACTCACTTTATCTGTCATCAGATGGTCTCTTGCTGCTAATCCATCTGTCCCTACGCCTGACATTGCAAGTCTTGAAAAATGTTTTAAAGCATCCTTAAGAAGTTGTGTCTGCAATGTTCCTGTAGTGCTTTAGCTCGTAGATATATATACAACTCAGAAAGATTTTCTCAGTGACCACTGGAACTGTCAATGAGTCCTCTATCCCTCCAAAATCAGCTCATGCTACACGTTAGAAAACAGCTTTAAGTGTGGTGATGTGTGGTGTGAGAGACTGAGGGGTTGTGTAGCAGTGGGATTTGCAGTTATTATTGAAAATAGCTGCAAACTATCCTTTCATGTGATTATTATGAGTGTGTTTTGTAAGAGAACTGCTCTCATCTCGTAGGGAATAATTTCTTTGGAGCATGAGGTAAAAGTGAATAACACTGCTAAAAATAGAGAGGTCAAATCTGACTGCTATGTAAAGAATCAGAGGAGATGAAGGCAGGAAAACATCTTATTTCTAAAGAAATATTTGAATAATGTATTGAATTTCTTGTGGTTTAACACCAGAATATGCAGTAACACTTCTTACTTCATTGCAAGACACACAATCAAATATTTAGAACTTCAGAATTCTACCAAATGTTGATAAAACCCATCTGGGTTTTGGGACTCTGTGCTTTGTTTTGGTTTTTTCCCCACCTTATCCCTTTTGACCGTTTCAAAGTGATAATAACGTCATGGGGACATCTAACACAATGTTTAAATAATTGCATCTAAAACAATGTTTGAATTATTACTATTATTACCACTCCATGCACTAGTAAAAAGCAGTAACTGTACCACAGGAAAAAAGAAATGAACCAAAAAACCCAGAGTCAGAATACAACTATAACTTTCAGAAAACCTGCCTAGATATGGAATGTCTGACTTGGTTGGAATATCATAATATACATGTCTGAAATCACCATTGTTGATGCAAATTCAGAGATGTTGAGTAGTTATAAGGAATATCAATATTTTGCCAGAATTAAGCCCAATCATTGATAGAGTCACCACTGGAGTGTATGAATTTTCAAAGTGCTTTCTCTCTGGAAAAAAAAAAAAAAAAAAAAACACAAAAATTAGAAATATTACTACAACTACTGTTTTATTGACATTCTCAGCATTCGTGGATATCAGAATTTATTCTGACAGAAGTGATAGATTAAGTAATTCCAATGAAACAATCCAATCTCATGATCCTGGCAGCCTTTATCTTCACTTACATTACATTCTCATGTTTCCTGGGGAAGGCTCAGTTTTTCCTTTTCCCTAAGTTCATTGTTGGAGCTAACACATGGATAACGGTGTGTACAGAGCTGCTGTGGCACACGGCTCCTGTGCATCCATGGAATGTTTCCCCTTGGGAATCCCTGTGGGGTCAGTGGGGTCCTGCTGCTGTGGTTTCAGTGCTGCATCTGTTCTCATGGTACTGCTGGGAGCTTCCTTGCACTCACATCTCCTTCCGTGCATTAAAAGAAACTATTTGCATGAATTCTTCAACAGTGATGTCCAGCAACTCTCCAGATTTGTCTGGAATGCCAGCCATGGACGCCTGTGGCTTTTGCATTATTCCCAGATTAATTCACACACCAGTTTATTTGTTAGTAGGAGCTGGATTTATCAAGCGCTGCTTGCTTGATATTTATATACACTCTGTGTGTGTGTGTGTTTTTTTATTTGTCTTTGATAAATACACCAGAAGAGAACAAACAAAATGATGTCTTGTTCCTGCAGAGGTCCTCTGTTGATTCTGACAGCCTTTCTGGCTTGATTTTAATGAGTCTGAACTGCCTTACACTGATTTGCCAATGAACGCCCACAGTCTGTTATTTCTGGGAGATGAACGTAAATCACTTCCAAATTCTGCCATTTATTTGTCACCTGATTCAGAAGGAGATTCCTGCACTGGATGCTTTATGCATGCATGCATGCATTGGAAGTTTTTCTTTGCAGACAGAAAATAAACCAAGATATTGTACAGTGTGTGCTTAAGCTCTGCAAAACTGATGGAAAATATCTGCTTCCACTGCCCACTCAGTCTGCCAACACTCTTTCTCCCTTACAGCAATAAAAAAATATGAACAATATTTTAACTGTAATTACTGTACACAGTATTAAATCAGATACCACCCACCAGCTGTCCAGAAAATGACAGAAGAGGAAGACAGAATGATTTCTCTCGTTATATGCAAGTTTGAGATGTGTTTGAAACTGGCTTGTCCTCCCCTGACCTTGTTTAATAGGACTGGCACTTTGTGGGAATAGACCATTTTTTCTGTTTGCACTGTAATTTATTTTTCTCCTTCATGGTTCATACACTGTTCTGCTTTTCCAGATAGTCATCTAAATCTGTCATGTCCTATACATGAGGGTCACCACAGTTAAAGTGGATACTAAGGGCATTTCAAATTGACAAATGGGATATAGTCAGGATTATTAATGTGGAAACTGGGTAGATCAGGAGTCATTTGCTTAAGTAATAGATTTAATCTGATTGTACATTCCTGTCTAGAAATCTATTTCATAATATTAAAAGGCTTGAGGTCCAAATAATGCTTTCAGGGTACAACGTGTGGGAAGAATATTCTCAGTGAGAGATGAGGGAACTGGAAGATAAAACTCTGTCCCTGAATTCTTCCCTTGGTTCTGTAATTTGTATTGACAGAGCCATTCTGCAAACAGCACGTTCTGGGGACACATTCTGAGAGTGGGGTGATTTTCCTTGTAATCATGGGAAAAGCACTATTATGGTCCTCAATTAGGTGTTGGTTTGGTGAGGGGCATTTTGGAAAATGAAAGCTTCACAACTGCCTGTAATAAATATGCAGAAACGTGATGTGAAATTATCCACTGATTAGAATAACCATGATCTAGGGTATGGTTTAAGGGTGAACAATTTCAGTCTGAGATATTCAGCTTTTGTGGCCCCAGGAAATCCTTAGGAGTGCAGAATTTGCCACTCTGGCTCAGAGCAAGGGTTGTCACGTAAATGCAGTTTCCTGCCCTCAGCAGCGTCACATCCTTGTGGCCACAGAGGAAATTAAAATCTGTAGAAATGCACAAAATTAGCAGTGCAAGCTTGTAGATGGTGTCTCTTTTTCTTAACATTTTTCACACTAACAGATGAGATTAATCCACTCTAATTGGCGTTGAGTTCTGAAAGATTCTTATATCTATGACAGAGGTTGTGACCAACGAGGTGCACTGAACTGGCAAGAAGAATATAGACAGGCTTTCATATTGTAGCCAGTTATGTCCATTTTATTACCCTTTCTAAAATAGTTTAAAAAAATATTTATTTACACACACACACACACATGTGTATATATATATATATTTATATTCATCTGTCCTTTTCTGTATTCTGTACTAAGGCAGTTCATTTTCCTGTAGCTCTGTGAAGGGCTTCAGTCATCGTGGTGAGTCCTTAGACCCTTCTTAGGTAAAAATGAAATTTAGAGAAGTGGTGATGTGTTGAACATACTTATTTAGGCTGTTCTTGATGTGTTAAACACATTCCTTATTCTTCCCTGTCAAATAATATTATTATTTTTGTCTTGAAGAAATAATGCTTTCATAATAATGTAAAAATATCCTGAGACAGAATTAGTTGGTTAGTGATATTAATTTATAAATGATCATGAATTATGATATAGTTTAAGGGAATGGATTTTTTTTCCCCATCTGAAATTGAGCTGTAGGCATGGAGTCTTTCTGTAGGCTTCATATACCCAAATAGCCGTATTAAAAGAGTTTTATTTAAATGCTAGGAATGAATCTCCCAGATCTTGTACATTTTAATTATAAAAATCTTTCTTTTTTAAAAAAAAAATAAGATTGTATATGATGCCAAGTCATTATACAGCTTCTGTATTAATCTCACAGACCCTGTTACACACTGAATACTCTCTCACTGTGCAGCAGGAAAAGTTAATCTTGTGCAGAAAGGAGCAGAACTAAAGTCATGTTTCATTTTTAAGGTTTTGAAATACATGAAATATGGATGTGATTTTAAACTCCTATGTTTAGAAATTTCACCTGTTGATAAGCACAAATTAGTGTGATAGTGCTAAATTACAATAACTTTAAAAATAATCTTATTGAAACAAAACTTGACTCAGAAGTCAAGTAATTGTCTGCATAAAATATGTGTATTCTGCATTCATATTCCCACGTATGTTTGGCTCAGCACGCTGTACTTTGCTGCTGAAGGTCAATAAAGCTGCAGAGCACTCATTTGTATTCAAGTCAGGAGAAACTTTAGGCAACTGATCTAAAAGACAGGTTTTTTTGCTTCTTCATGCAGGGTTTGCCTTGCCCGTGGTGTAACCTCAATTCCCTGAGAGCCGAGTAACAATAATAAGCCATAACATGTCCGAGTTCTCTTTTTGCTTCACGAATTTCTCAGCCTCGAAATATTCCAGCTGGGAACACCTGACTGGCACTTCAGCTCTTACCTGGGAATTGTCTTTCCCTCTCTCTCGCCTTGGCAGGTGCCAGAAGCCATAAGGAAGTGCCAGCGAGCTGGAATCACAGTCCGCATGGTCACCGGGGACAACATCAACACAGCCCGGGCCATCGCCATAAAGTGTGGCATCATCCACCCAGGAGAAGACTTTCTCTGCCTCGAAGGGAAAGAGTTCAACAGAAGGATCCGAAATGAGAAGGGAGAGGTAATTCATAGCCTAAATCCACGAATGTATGTGCTGGTTTAAAGGTAAACCAGCAGGGGAAATGAGCTCAACTCAACAGAGAGATTATAAGTCAGAGTAACAATTTAGTAAAATAATACAATAAATACGATTATACAGACAAACAGTTGGTTTTAACCCACATAACCCAGCACCCTGGGGCATGAACAGAGTGGTGTTCGTTGGGCCCCGAGTCCAAAGGAAAAGGAGAGGGAAAAAACCTGTTGGTGAGAGTGCTGGTGCAGTCCAGTCAACAGTGGTGGTTGCAGTCTGGTTGAGAGTGGTAAGTTCCAGTCTTCCTCTGGATCCCACGAGTGGTTAAAAAAGTCCCAAGACCCCAAGATTATCTATCCTCCAGTTCAGGCAGGAATGCCCAGTGCCTCCCTCAGGGAGGGGAGTTCCACACTGGGTATGAGGACAAGAGCATCCTCCTATCTCACAGGCCTCTGAACACCCAGTTTATAGCCTGAGGAGTCAGGGCTGCTCTGGGCAGAGGGTGTAAATGGTCTATTGATAACAGTCTCTGGGAAATGGCATGGAAGGCTATAGAATACACAGTTTTGGGTTACACCCATCCAGTGATGAACTGGTCCCAGCTGTTCTAACTAGGACAATGCAGTATTAGAAACCAGTGAGAACACTGCAATATTTCTCCTGCGCTGGCGTGTTCCTCGGATGGGTAAAGGCTCCTTGGAAACATTGCTGCTTTTTCCTACCCCCAGCCTTTTCCAGTTCAAAACAGCAGTGAAATTCCAGTCTTTACTTTTCCTGATGCAGAGCCGGTATCAGTTCAGTGCTGGCCTAATTCTGAAGTTTTTAGATCCAGAGCACTTGTCTACAAAAAATCAAAACTAAGCACATTAAAGGTTTGTAGTAAGGAGGAGAAGGGGCTCAAGAGCAATTTTGCTCCTAAAAATGCAGTCTGTTCTGAGAACCAGCTCCTCTCATTGCTTTAATTTATTCCACTTTATCTAATGTACTCACATTAACGATTTGCATAAAAATCTATTCTTCTGAGGATTTTTAACTCCTCATAAATGATGGAGCTCACGCACAGGATATTGGAAGTCAGCTCTAAAAAAGTAAAATCTATGCTGTCTCTTTGAGTCCATCATTAATGAGCAGACACAGTCCTTTACTCCTTGCACTGATGGATGGAATCCTGGGAATGTTGGTATATGCAGCAGATTTGTCCTTGTTCCTGTTGCTGTACAGAGAAAATTTTGCCATTGTTGGTGCCAAATGAAGAACTTGGATTAAAATGAAGAGTGTAGCAACAAACTTGTAAACATGTTTGATAAGCTTTGAGAAGTTCCCCAATCCTATATCTGCAGTCATGTGGACTTATCCATAAAGATGTTAAGAAATGCTGATTAGATACTGTGGCAAAATTTCCCTGTTAGTCAACAGCTGAGCTCTGGTAGTAATAAACTGCCTTTTTTGAGCTTGATGACTGTTGTAATTTCCCTGTGCTTTTGGAGAAAAGTTGCAGGTTTGAGCAGTGAATTGTCAGACACACAGACACAAATATATTATGCATTTTGCTAATCACAGGTTAATTGTTTTGGGTTTGGTTTTTTTTTTTTTGTGTGTGTTCCCCTCTCCAGATTGAGCAGGAGCGGATTGACAAAATCTGGCCAAAGCTCCGGGTTCTTGCTCGCTCGTCCCCCACGGACAAACACACTTTGGTGAAAGGTGGGTGTGTGGAAATTAATGCCACAGTTACTGCAGCACATCATCTGCCTTGTAAAGATTTTACTGTCACAAATATAGCTGAGTTGTTACCTGTAACTGCACATCTCTCCTTAATGCCAGGAAGTTTTCTCGGTAACCAGGTCACTGCTGTTTGTGCTCGGCCTCAGCCTTGAGATGGAAAATAATAGGGAACTCTTTGGCAGGAGTAGGAGAAATACCAATAAGATGTTTGGCAAATAGATGTAGACAATCTCATATTTGCCTTGTGACTTTGAATTGGACTGGAATGAGGCCCTAGATGGGAAGGGAAAACGTGTGTTTGCTGGTCAGAAAGCAAATAGTGTTGAGAAACAGGGTGTTACTCATATCAACAAGAGGGGACATAGGTTTTATAGTCTTTGCCTATACCTTTAAGATGAGAACAATCTCAGGGTGAATCAAGTCTCTCAAGTGCATCTGCTCTCCGACAATTATTTTTAAAGAATATTCCAAGAGAAAGAAACTTTTCCTGTTACAATAGCAGATTTTGTGATGGTGTAACTCGGAGCTGCCCCCATTAGCATTACATGAGTGGAGATGGGGGTTTTGAGCCAATTCCCTGTTCCTATAGACTCACTAATTGTATGATTTACACTGGCTTCCTTTAGATTTCTGGCTGTATTTTTAGAGTCTGTCCTGTAAAAACTGCACTTTACAAATGATGTTCTCTCCCCATGCTGTCTGCAGATGGAATGCTTCTGGAAAAGAGGGATTGGTTTCCAATTTTCTTTATAGAACCTTTTTCATAACTGTAGCTCGCAATTTTTGATGACTTGACATCTTATTCTGTTGACTTTGAAGCTCACACTTGAAAGCTGATGAAATCAGACAGTTTCTGATCAGCAAAAATGTCATTTTTAGCCATACTGGGATGGGGAATTGGCACAGGTGGAAGAACCATTGGCAGATGGCTCTTTCCTGGCTTCCCGAGGAAGAAAGAGCTGGATTATTTTGCTAAGGCCCTGCAAGGTCTGGAGAGCCCCTTCTTAGCAAATCTTGGAGGAGCTAAAATTCAGGATAAGACCCAGCTGATCAGTGACACATTTTCAGTTGGTTGACTGCTTCAATAGTTATTCACATTTAGATAGGGAATCCTCTGGGTGTACAAGATTTCCTGGCCATGCCTCCATACATGACTGATTACAAAGGCTTTTGAGCATTATGGAATTTTTAAAAGTGTCTGAATGTCTTCAGAGCAAAAGTTCCACTGTGAATTTGAAGACTGGATCAGTTGGGTCCTTTGGGATTGAAACTGGTGAGTGTGAAGAGCTCTGGAAACATTGAAATTCTCCTGAACAATCCATACCTTGTAAACCCTGGCACTAATGCTGGACAGGGCAGGTGGAGACATACTGTTTAAACTCTATCTCCTCCTTTTCCATGTATGTTTTATAATGTCCACAATTTATTAGTATAGTAGTAAAAATGTGTAATTTATAAATGATATACGTATTTTCGGGAGATGTGCTGGAAAACATTTTACTGGTAGGTACTGAGGATTGAAAATGTGTGGAGAGCATTGCTAGCTCCATATATCAGGATGAAAACAGCACACAGTCAGCTGAAGTCTCCTCCCTTCACTTGTGCATATAAAATCCTGTCTTAGACCTCTTAAAGAACAGATAATAGTACAGCCTAATAGTTTATTTGTTTCAGAAACACAACAATTTGTGTTTCATTAAGTGGATTAAATAAGTCCCTTGGGAGTAGTCATCTGAATGATTCAGGATTTTCCCTTAAGAGGAAAATGAAACCTTTTCCAGGGAAATTGAAATCAATAGAGAGCTGAAGAAAAAAAAAAAAGGCAAGAAATTGTTGATGTTTTATAGCATATGCACTTTGACAATGCCAAAGATATTTACTACTGAATGCCATGTGCAACTGATACAATTAATGTTTTAAAGATGTGGCAAGGTCAAGTGACAGAGCAATTAAGTATGTAACGAAGTTCAAGAACAAGTCTCTGGAAATCATGATAGAATTTTTTTGGCTGGTGATACCCCAGGGGCCATTAAAAGTTACAAGAAACTATTTAAATGTTCACTAGTTTTGGGCCTCTTGTTAAAATGTTATGTTTTTCTCAGACACTTGAGGGATCAAGAGGATTTTCTCTCCTTTGATGTATTCTATCTGCTCTGGGCTAAAAACACACATCAGAAAATAAACTTTTTTCATATTTAATTTTTAATGACATGCAGCTGCTGGAGGGAATATTTTTTTTTTTCTCGTTAACATAGCGCAATCCCACCCAGCAAAAGGATCATTTTTATTTTTCCTTTTTGTTTTTACTGCTGCTAAGGGACTAGAGAAAGGCATGGTTCAGCATTTCAGGCTGGGCACACGGTTGCTTTCAGATATTTATGGCTTTGAAGCAGAGGTAGATTGGAAAAAAACCTACTCGAAAGTGGTTTATTGTCACAAGGTGTTTAAGTGAAATAAAAATCTTAGATATCTCAGTCCTACCGAAATACAATATGGATTTTAAGGCACCTGTTGGTATTATTTCATATTTTTTACCCAATTTCAAAATATAACAAGTAAAACCATACATCATTTATACTGATATGTCCTTATAATGTTATTGCTGAAATAATTCCATATTGTCATTTTTAAAAAAAAAATACTATGGGAAAAATCTCTTTAGTGCTTATGGGAAATATCATCAGAAAGTGTAGAAGAAGATATAGAAGAAAAAGAAGATAAAAGAAATATTCACTTTACCAATTATACATATTTTCCAATATATTCAAATTGAACTGGAATTATTTTTGTGATATTAAAACATAATTTAAAAACCTCATATTTAAAAAATATTGAAATCAGATATTCTCATGTAAGGCTGGTTTGTTAACAAGCAGAAAAGGAACTTTAAAGAAGAAAAGATTAGTAATAATTACCCTTAATTACTAAAATATTTCAAATATTATTGCATGGGGTGGTATTATATTTACAACCTCATTAATGCTGACGGGCCACGAGACTGGGTAGAATAACAAAAATACAGAAAAGTGCATCAATTGAAATTCTAAAATTAAATATCAGCACGTTGCAAGTTGCAACTGGGTTTGATTTCCGTGGGAGAGAAAATGCCAAAGCTTGTTTTTCTTCAAACTCCTATGAAGAAATATTCAGAAAGTTCACCTGTTCCACAGCGTGAAAACTTCAACCTGAAGCAAAGAACACAAAAATGGTTTAAAGAAAGTAGGAGCTCTCCTGCATTTGAGTCTGGGGGTCTGTGCTCTGTAAATACAGCCCGGGCTCTGTGGGGTGTGTGAAGTGCAGGGCTGGGAGGCACTGATGCCTTCAAGGTTCCCCTTTAGGCTTTCAGTGATAAAACAGTGTGTTTAGTTTAGAAACCCTGGTGTTTTAGCTGTGTTCTGCTCTGCATTCTGATATCCTGAGCTTTGGGGGGGACTATTCAGTTAACAATTGCCAATGCTGTCTGTAATGTCAAATATAACATTTCCACATTACCCTTTAAAGCTCTATCCACGCACGCACTTAAGCCCGTAACTAAAATGAATTTGAGTCTCCTCTTTCAGACAGACTTTCTAAATTCCTCTTAAATTAACAAGGAGGTTTGGCAGCATTAAAAACTAATCTGAAGAGAACACGAACATGAAAATATATTACTGCGTCTGCCTGTGTTCAGCTTGTCAAAGGAATATAAATCTGTGGATTTATATTTCTGGGAGGATCAGCTTTGCTAACACCTGAACTGGTGTGCACCTTGGAAATGCTCAGCTGCAGCTGAGTTTTTCCTGCCTGCCTGTTTGGAGTTAATCAGTTGAGACAGAAACAAACATATAAACCAGGATTATTTTTTTTTTTCCTCCCAGAGCCAAGGTTTTCTTACTGATGCACTCTAAGGGTGACAATGCAAGTGAGGATTGTTTAAATAGAGCAGCATTTGTTCTACAATAAAGGGAGAACCTGAGGCTACATTTGATGGTTCTGATCTGAGCCATGGGTATAAATAGCTCCTTGTTAAAGGAATGGAAGAGGCATTGTTGGTTAATATTCTTTAAATTATTATCCTGAGTGCATTTGATTTAATGCTTTCTTAATGTTAGATGGAGGGAGGTGGGAAATCCAGGATAAATTCCAGCTGCATATGCAGTGCTGGTACTTTTTATAGCAAGCTTATGCATACAGTGCCCTTCTTGACAGCTCTACATAGTTGTTTTAAATATGATCTTTTCCCTCATCCAAAACAAGCCGCTTGCCCTGAAAAACTTGTGCCTTATGCAAGTTCTGTGCCTCCTTCCCAAATTCCTGCCACGTCAGCAAAATCCCTGTGTGGAACACACTGTCATGTTATGCTCTAGGTGTGTTCCTGTGGCTGTAGAATAAAATTCTTTTTGACAGAAGAAAGTCATGGTCAAACAGCTTAAGATGAGGGACTTAAACAGCCAAGGCTGTTTTGGCAGGAAGCTTTGCTGAGAGTTTAAGAATCCTCCCGATGCACGTTGCAGACCTGTTTTTCTTAAAATACTGTGTGTAAACATCCAACTGGAGTAAAGCAGTTTATTTTGAAGAAATTTCCTTAATGTTAGACATGACTAATTAATACCAAAGCTTCTTTTTAACTACTTAGAATGAGTGGAAAGGCCAGGGAATGCTAAAGCAATGGTCATCTGTCAGGTCGTGTCCTCAGTTCCATTTTTCACTGAGCAGTCGATCTCCACAGCTCAGAACTACAGAGGGAGAGCCTTTACTGGGCATCACTCTTCTCTTTGGTCTCCTTACACTGTTTGTAAATATTAGATAGTTGTTAATATTGTATGTTACTCGATACTGAAGAAAATCCTTCAGGTGAAACCTTATCGCAGCCATGAACAGAGTGATGTTAAAAAATATAAAAAGTAAATGTGTTTGGAAGGAGGTGAGTGCTGGAAAGAAGACAAACATTCAGCAGTGTGAGGAAGGGGGAGGGGGAACAGATTAAAAAGAGCAGGCAGAAGTCAGAGAGCGTGAGTGTAGCTGTGATAAATCCTCTGAATCCCAAATTATCGCTACTGCTCCATTTTAGAAATTTGCCTGACGTACAAATGACAGTTTTGCAAAGACCTTCTCTCTTCCCATGGATAGCACTGAGATCCATCCCCATAATATTGTGCCATGCATTGCCATATTTCTGATGTCACTGCACTGCAGGTCTGGGGCTCAGATGCTGATGATAACTGAGACCATTTTATCTCTATTTTTCTATGGCTGCTGGTTATGAAGTTCCATGATCTGGGTTTATCCCAGCTGCATAGTTTGCTTTTAGGCATAAAAATTACTACTAAACCTTGAGAATGACTACCAAACCCTGTAAATTACTTAGGAGCATCCAGCAATTGGCTGATGCAGGGCAGTGGTATAGTCACCAACATTAGTCACTATTTATAGCCATTTATATCTATTAGGAGATTATTAGAACCTCTTCAACTTGATTTGAGTTGTGCTCCCATTTGGAACTCAGTTAGCAGAAGATGCCATCTACCTGTTTTGGAGCAGTTACTACCTTAATGTGTCAGAGATTTAACAATTTTTTGTTCAGAAGCCTAAACTATTAATTTAACATCAAAGGATGTGTAAATAATAAGAAGGGAAGACCAAGATAAATGTTTTTAATAGTAATGAGAGAAGATGTCCCTGTTTATTTAATAATACCAAAGGCAAATCACCCCAACAAACTGCAAGCTGTAATTGTAAGATCTTATCAGAATAATGTACCATTTATCTGAGATAGGGTTTTTTTTCTGATTTTCATAAGTCTGAAAAATACAGGGCACTAACTGCTTCCACACTGCTCTGCAATCTTCTGGTGCCTGATAAGCCTGAACCTTGCCAAGAGGCAGCTATTGCTCTGTAATCTGCAATTTCCTATTTCTGGTTAGTTATCTGATATGTGAGTGATTTTTTTTTTTCACAGTAGAGTGAAAGCTTTTCACACTGGGTAGGTTTTTGATAATTGTTTTTAGAGGTTATGACTTTGTGCAAAATGTTTTAGCATAAGGAATTTTGTCATTTCTCCCCCTAAGTTATTAATATGGAGAGGTGTTCTTGTATCCTATACAATAATCCTGTGTTCTGGACCCATATTCAAATGGACTCTGATATGGAAATAAAAACATGAGTGGTGAGTGATCCATCCACATCCTATTAAAAAACTGGGCTGTTTCTGTAGCCATAGAAAATTTCTTCATTCTTTTCCTTACTTTCCCTATCTGCATAAGTGGAAAATACTTCCCTGCAGGCTAGTTGTGTGAAAATTGATTCACCAAGTGAGAAGCGCTTTCTTTTCTCCAATGATCTCAAAATGAAAGTAGAAATTATTTTATTATGTCTATTTATTAAAATGTTTGGCTCCAGAATTTAAAGAATTATTTTCTACCTTCTTAATCATTGCTTGGTAGAATTGAACACGGCTGTTTAAATGCTCATCTGGCTGCAGCTAAATCAAATTCAGCAAGTATGTTTCTTATCTTTAGGTTAAACTGACTGCCAGAAGGCCTTCTAGTAAAGCTGGTATTACAGTTTGGGCACAGTTTGGGAGAGCCTTAAGCAATCACGTCTTAAAAACTTAAGTCTTTGGCAAATCCTTTCCATATATCAGAGTGATGGGTTTACTGTGACACGTAATTTTAAATAGTAAAAACCTTCCAAAAGGACATAATGAGCTGATCTCATTCCCTTTGAAGTCTGTGCAGGTTTTGTTGATGTGCTGGTGATGCAGGATCAGAACTTTCCGTGTAATTTCTAATAGTGATGTCTAGTAGTGTAAGAGTGATGACACTGCTTTCATCATTATTTTCCTTCAAGATCAACTCTGTTGATCTCTGTAAGACTTGTGTGGTATTATGAGCTCTATATTATCCAGGCCCTGCTTTTTTGGAGGGATGTTTTACCTTGCTGATTATTTTCCATCTGTCTGTACTCACACTCCTGTCCATGTTTTGCAGGTATCATTGACAGCACACAGGTGGAGCAGAGGCAGGTGGTAGCTGTGACTGGGGATGGAACCAACGATGGACCAGCACTTAAAAAAGCTGATGTTGGCTTTGCAATGGTATAATCTCCAGCATATTTGTTCATATTTGTGTCATTAGAAATGTGTTGTGAGAGGTTTTTCGTTCATTAAATGTTAAGTTGCTTAGTTGTTACTTGTCAGTGAAGACATATATTGGAGGGAGCGAGTCATGTTGCATCAGAATCCTTTAATTTACTGTGTCAGATTCACTGCTGCTGCATATTTTGATACTTTTTCAATACTTTGCCTGAAGTAATTCTTGGCTATATGCAGAATCCTGTGTCCATACAGAAAAATGAAGTACTTTCTTCCCAACAGTAGAATACTATTTAGCTTTGGTAAAATCCATCACTAAACATAAAGATGTCTTCCAAGTGTACTCTGACTGTATATATTAAGATACATCATTTTAATTTTTGTTACCAATTCTGATGATATATATTTATAAAATCATCCATGATAAAAATAACTCAGAAGATCAGTAGTTATTAAACTGATAACTTAAAACAGTCAGAACTATCATCACATGAATTCCACTGCTCTGTCAGTTCCCTTTTCTGCGTCCTTATTCACTTCAAAAATAGATCAAATGAACTACATTCCAGCAAATATAAAATGCAGAATATACTCAGCAGCCACTGTTACTATGCTGGGAAACCTTTGTACAACTGTGGACTTGGAACGAGCAGGAAGATTTGAGTTCTACCTGCCCCTATATTTTCTAGTAGATCATTTCGTTCCCAATTGATTTTTTCCAGGGTATTGCAGGGACAGATGTTGCAAAGGAAGCCTCTGACATCATCCTGACAGATGACAACTTCAGCAGCATCGTGAAGGCTGTGATGTGGGGCCGCAACGTCTACGACAGCATCTCCAAGTTCCTGCAGTTCCAGCTCACCGTGAACATCGTGGCCGTGATCGTGGCCTTCACCGGGGCCTGCATCACTCAGGTGAGGCAACCCAGGGCCAGATCCCACCACACTGCGTTTTCGGAGTGCTGGTGGCTCACATTTGATCCTTTGTAAGCAGCAAATGTGCCTTTTGAAGTTCTAAGCGTTTTAAGTGTGTTCAGGATTGAGCCGCTCAGTGTTGAATAGCTGTTGGTGAATGGAAGGGCATTAACCCATCTTCTCCCTAAAATAACTTGCTGTTTCTTTGAGAAAACTTGCTGTTTCTTTAGCTTTGTTTAGGAGCTGTTAATTTTTGTGCTGCCTCCATATACCTCCCTGCTTTTAATTACATATTATTGTCGTCTCTGAGCCTGATGATATGACAGACAATGTCAGGCATTAGGAGAAGGAAGAGGTTGTGTGAATTTGCCTTTTCCTCTCAGAATATTTCACTGTTAAATATGTGCTTTTGATGGATTATGGAATGGGATTATTATTTTCAAGAGAGCAGTACTGCCACACAGAAGTAATCCCAGCAGGGGATCTTTTTGACTGATAAAATTATTTTGTTGCTTTCAGGCAATTCTTTTTAATTTCAGATGCAAATGACAAACCAATTAAATGACACATAGAGTTGGACTTTGACATCTCTTTCTTCCTCCCCATCAATCCCTCAGTGCAATCCTGGTTCACATGCCACATGTTTAAGTCTTTTATAAAAAGCATACCTGAAGGCAAACCACATTTTCTTACCTTCACACTATTGCTTTTTGATTAATAAAATACAATTTTCCCTGAAGAGAAAAAAGGGTGAATTAAGTAGAGTATAAGAGTTTTGTCTTTGAATAGAAAATAGCAAAATGTGGGTTTTAGTGCTGTCACCACCTAAAATAATATATATTTCAGATGCTGCAGGCAGGTGTTGTTACAAAATGCCTCCTTGGATTGAGACACGCTATGGGAAAGCTGATGCTTCCCCCCATGGTCATCACACAGATGCCATACCTGTTCCACAGCTAGATTTCACCTCATGAACACCTGAGCAAACCAATGAATAAATCATCAGCTCTGCTTGGGGTAAACTTACACTGTGATCATGGAATTGATACTTGCAACCAGAGACCTGGGTACCTTTACCAGGAGGTAAAACTTCTCCTACGCCCTGACTGATATTTCGAGGCCATGGTGGTGCCTTGTCACAACTGAACCTGTGCTGAGGCACAAAACTAGTGATGTTGCAGCAAAGTTGGATGAGGTTCCCTCTTCCCTTGGGAAATATTTTCAGGCATATTGAGAAAATGTTTAGCTGTGAAGTGATTGTTGCTGATAACAGAAGGAAGAGGACTAAGACTGCAGGAGATTTTTATGAGTGGTACAAAACCATACAGAAAAAAAGGGCTTAGGTGGTCAGAGCAGCATCACTGGAACTGAGTCAAGGGCTTCTTTTAAAACCCTGTTTTGTAGACAGCTTTTATTCAGTTGCTGCCTACTAACATTTATTTAAGGTGAAATTTTTTGTTTTATGTCCAGCATCTTCAGTTGCTTCGTGAAAGGACAAAGGGTCTTCACTAGCTATTCACTAGCTAAGGAATTTCTATTTTATTCCTGAAGAGGTTAAACATTACTGAATCAGTGCAAGGACTATTTTAAGTCAAGTCTAAGCAGATGTGAAGTGTATAATCAGTGCAAGTATATTCCCCTTTTTAATTTCATCCTTTGAATCATTCCATTGGCTTCTAGAAGGGTTTGGATCAGCCCCAGTGCATTTATACGGCCCCAGTGGTCTGTAAGACCATCGCCGAGCCTGCCAACTCTGTTGTCCCTGCTTACAGGTTCTAATGGACACTCCCAGAATTCCTGTATTTCCTTGCAATTCCTCAACTTGGCAGTAAAGATGCAGATGCAGAGGAGAGGTCTGAAAGGAGCTGAAAATGAAATGGTGGGAAAAGGGCAGCAGTTGTTTCCTCTGTCGTCGGCCTGACCGCGGATAATCTCGGGCAGCTCTCGGTTCTGTCTCATTCAAGAAGGATTTTGCCTCGCCAATGAACATTATTATGTTAGGCTTTGACTCCAGCCAGCGAAAGGACATTCTGTTTGGCTCATAAGCTTTACTAAAAATTGCACTTGAGAACATACTGTACCCTCTGGTTGCTATGAAAAAATAGCTCCAGCACAAAATGCACAACCGTACCAAAAAATCTTGCATACAACGGTCGAGGTGCACACACACAGATCTGAATCTGCAAAACTGTGCACAGGTCTTCAATTGTTATTTTGACTGAAACATTTTAGTCCTTAACAGAAAAACGGAGCTAAAATCTATAGTTTCCAAAAGGCAACATAGCTTCCCGGGACCTCCACAATGAATATAAAGAAAGTCCACATTGGGACTGAATTTTACTTTGCTTTTAGGTAGTCAGTTTGGCTTTCTTTGACAGACACAGCATGATTTTAGTCCACCATTAATATTCAGGTTAATGAATATTACACAGGCTATCTTTTTGGTAATATTTCATCAAGTCTAGAATGAGAAAAATTCTACGTGAGCAGTAATGTTTGTTCTGTGCTTCCTGACAGCATCTCTCAAAAAATCTGTTCTACTGTTCAGAACCAGCTCACTGGGATACTTTTAGGATGAAACTTCCTTTACACTTACTCTTTATGGTTTCTGCTGTTTGTGCTTAAAGGAACTACAAAGATAATAAAAACTTTGCTTGGACTAATTTTATTTTTTTTTTAACATACGGCTTGTGCTTTGCAACTTAATAGACTTAATTTTATTCAGTCTTGATCCTACACTGGTGCACACGTAAATATGAGTATGTGGTCATTTCCCTGCAGGACTCCCAGTGAGACCACAGCAACCTTGTGTTAATGAAGGGTCTGACTGTGAATTACTGGTATGAGTGAAACCAGACCTCCACAGGGCACCCAGAGAAAGCATTGCCCACGTAGGAGATGATTTGTTTGACCCAGAGCACCTTAGGAGGGCAATGGAGAGGCTTAAGAAAAACATTAGTAGTCTTTTTAAGAGTCTGCTGGTTTTTTCTCAAGTAGATTAATAAAGTGAGGCTCCTTGCCACTTCCACTTCGGGGAACCACTGTTTAGTTTAATTCTGTTAATTTTAGACAAATACTATTTTATTGTTTATCTACTTCATGCCTGCTTCTACAAGATGCTGCTGTTAGAGAATATCTACAATATCTGCTCTCTCTGTTTTGTCCTGGTCTGCTGTTCCAAGAGATGTTTAACCACACGTACAGAGCGTGTGTGACCCTATGTACTGCTCCAGCATTATGTAAAGATTATATGCAGACTACAAGGGACCAATGCAAATGGCCTTTTGCTATTCTGTGTCATGGGTCCCAGCACGAAGTCATGTTAGGGTGGCAGAAATCACATTCAAAACAGAATAAGAATTACAGATACAGTGTCACCTGCTGACAAGCTTAGCAGAGCTGCTGCCAAAATTACCCCTCACAGGATCTAACTTACACTGGGCCCTGTTTCAGTTTACAGCAGCTCTGTAAACTTATAGATGTGGCTTATAGATTAGCCAGAAGTTCTGAATTTTTGACTGATAATGAACTTTTTTGTTGTGGGTCTGCGATTACGTAAAGCATTTTGAGATCTGTGTCATGCAAGAAAACAGAGCTTAAAGCCTCTGCTGGAAAGCTGAATCAGGAACACTCAGTCTGTGGCTGCACTGCTGCTCTTAATTTTGTGTCCAGTGCACTCATAACACCAGTGATGAGATCACAGCTCTGGTCCTGTGTCAGTGCAGTTTGTGTGGCACAGTGCAGCTGAACCACATTCATTCACCTTATCTCTTAATTAATCTAATTCATTTACCTTTCTCTCTGTGTTGCCACGTGCATACTTTTAAAGTGATCAGAGTTTGTGTATAATTGTCCTTTCTGTTCAGCAACTGTTGCCTCAGGTTAAACCAATCGGGTTTTTTTTCCAGTGGATTTATGAGAGACCAAATCTTGCATTCTGACTTCACTCTCTGAATAAGGGTTTCGCAGAGCCCTTGATTGGTTCAGTGAATGTGGTTCTTTGGAGCTCTGCCTACGATCATTGTGAGTTTTGCACTTCCAGTGAGTCATTGTTCCACATCTCTGGGTGTCATATAGAGTTCTATACGTGCCTTACAAAGCCACAAGGCTCGTCCTGCTTCCTGTCCCCCACATACCCACAGCACCAAGAAAACATCAGGTCATTGTGTTTGGAGCTGTTAAAAGCAATCTGGGTATGAACAAAATAAAGATTTTAAAATGCAGTTCAGTCAAATGGAAAGAGTTTTTTACTGGAACTGTAGAGCAAATGTGTTTATTTCCATGCCAGATTCTGTCTGTGTCTCCAACTGCTGAGGCAATGTAACTATTCCAAAAGGTTGCACTGAATAAAGGGAAGACAAAGACTGTGTTTTAACATTTTACATTCAAATTATTGTTCTTGCACTTTGAGAAAGACTTAATGTTTTAGCAGAAATTAGGAACTGAAAACAGTGACTCTATAGGACATTATGTTTGGAAAATTAAATGTTAATTAAAAGCACTGTAACATTGAACTACTGCATGAATCACTGATTGTTTTTACAGATCTTGTTCAAAAAAAAGAGGATGATCTATACTTACGTGTATAAGGCAGTAATTTACGTGGTTATAATGTTTTACTGCAGAACTATATTTGGCAAATCCTAAAATAATAGCACGAACAAATTTGAAAAAGCTGTAATATAAAATCAAAGTCTGCACTGTTTAGATTTGTTTTGGCAAGGCTTAGAGGCGTGGAAATAGAATTAAGGATGCCACTTCCATACAATTAGTAGACACTGTGATCCAGCAGCATAAGTGAGGGCTGATATTTTTTTGCATTAATATATAGAAAGTTAACCTACCAGAAGTGCTCATTTTTATGAATCTGTGCATGTGTTCCGTGACAAGTGGGAGTAAAAAGGTAAGGGTGAAAATACCTTCTTATTCCCTCACAGTTTGTCATCTAAATCAAAAGTAACAAGCTCTAAAATTTGTGAGGCTCTGCATGTCACAAAAGATTTGTAGTGTATTTCCAGCCTTTGGCGATTTTTACTTTTAAGTGTTTCCAAGATGAAGTGTAACATCACTTGATTTAAGGGACATTTTCCTTTTACCTCTAGGCCAATGCTAACCTATTCCAAGGTCAAGTGGAAAGGAATTTGATGAATAAGTGGTGATTTTGGGTGGTTTGCAGTTTGAACAGCTTTCATCCCCACAGCCTGCAGAAAGGGAATTAAGAACTGTTAGCCAGTCAGTCGGTGGCTAAAAGGCAGCACAAAGAACGTTGATTTGCATCCCACTTGCATCAGTGACTAAAATCTGTAATGGAAGTCTAAACTCCTTAGCTGATATGTATTTTCCTCAGTTTCCACCAACTAATCAGAAATCAGAGAGAGTTGCAGTGGAAATTTCATTCCGCTGCCTGCCCAGACTAATGTGTGTTTAATGTTTGGGCTTCAGCCTAGAATGAGCTCTCACACTCGACTGAACAGTGTAGCACTGCCAATAATAGATAATTATTAGAGGCACCATAGCCACCCAAGGTGATTGGCAGTGTGAAATGGTGAGAACACGTTGTTGCCAAAACTGATGACTGCCAATTACAGTTGTGTGATTTAGAGACTGAAATAATCTGCTTTTCCGTTGTGCTGGGAGCACGGCAGGCTCTGACAGACACCTGAATATCTGACTCTATTTATTAAGCATAGCAGACAAAGTCAGTTTTATTGACATGGAAGTCAGCAGATGAAGTGGAAATTAAGCTATCGTAACATCCCAACTCGGAGAATGTTTCTCAAGAAAACTTATTAACTAGACAGGCAAAAAATATGACAAGGAAAAATTGCTCAGCAGAAAAGATGTTTTCCTTTTTCCCTATATACTGTATTCTGTGCAGGGCCTCTGAGCTCTATCAGCAAACTGCTTTTACTGCAAGTACTCTCTTTTTTGGAGCCATATGTATTAATAAAAATCAATGAGGTCTTGATTTGGAATGAAGTTTGTCCTGATCACTTTTAGTTTTTTTAGCACCTCTAAAGACAAAAGCATTTCCTGTTTATGCAGCTGCATATCCAATGAATGAGCTGAACTCTCCAAATAAGCCCAGTTAGTGCAAGCCATAACCAACAGGTCAAGAATCTATTAATGCTAATCTTCCTCCTTTCCGTGATGTAGCCAACCTGTAAGACTTAGAAACAGTAGGTTGCCTTTCTCCATCCTTTGAATAAGCCAAAAGGGATCTTTTTTCTTTAAATAAGTGAAATGTATCAACATTTGTGTAAATGTTCTGTTAAAAACGTGTTTTAAGAAGAAATAATATTTCGTCTCAAGGGGGAGTTGAATATAAACCAGATCCACCAGAGATTAAACCACTTACCCTTATTCTCCATATCTGCTTGGGATAATGAGTGTGTATTGACCCATATTATTTGATAGCATTTCATTAAAAGTGAATCTTTAACCCTTTGAAGGAAAGGGCAGAGTTCTTAAAGTTTCTGTTGGCTTTGCTTTGCTTTGTATGCTGTTCCCTAAATTTCTGTGCTTCGCTGCTGCAGCACCATGGTAATGTAGTGCACAAAAATAGTGCTCTCTCTTCCAGCTTTCAAACTGCAGATTAGCTCCATTTCATTATGAAATTTGTCATACCTTGTTACTTTTGAGATTCTCTTTTCCTGATAAAAACGGTCTATTTGACACAGGAAGCAGACCTTACTAGTGCTGCCCATTTTCTGTGAGGTCTGAAGGCACAGGAGGTCGTTGGATACAGAAAAGAACCTCTTTTGTTTTTCCTCTCCTGGGTCCTTGAAGCAACTGCCTCAATCTCCCCTCGGAGCTGCCCCAATGAACTACACATCCAAACTTTATAATAGTTGTCCAGCCTTTGCTGTGTTTGCTTTATTTAGTTACTTCTGGGGTTTTTTAAACACAACCTAAAGTCCTCTGTACTATGACCACAGATTTTGTGTGAGGAAAGAGCTCCTTCTAGTGACTGGCGAGCTGCTTCAGGAGCTACATCCTGCATCCTCACAAATAGCAATATTTGGCTTTTTTCATTCCATATCCATAGTTCCAAATATGCTATCCTGTTTCCAGTAAAATAATAGTGGCTGTAATAAAAGATTGTCTTGCTCTTGCACATTTGATATAGTTTAATAAGTTTCAGAGTATTTTTAACATCAAAATATCAGGCTTTTTTTTTTAAATGTCACTATTGTTTTTTAAAGGTCTTATTTAAATACGATATATAAAGATGTCTCTGTGATTGTTTTATAAATTTTTAATAAATTCAAGCTGTTTCTGAAAAAAAAAATTAAAGGTAGGTAGGTTATAGTGAAAAAGGGAAACATTACTTTTTAAACTGTTTTAATATAATTTTTCTCTCAGGAAAGAAACTAGTTACCTAAATTATTTAGTTACCTAAATTATTTAGTTACCTAAATTCAGCTGAAATTTTAAGCCTGAGGTAACAGAGAGTACTGTGATAAGTATTATGAAGTGTCACTGTTATGCTCTCTAAGAATTGTGTGATTGCAAATGTTCCTGATTTAAATGACTGCAGAGAAATCATTTCTCTTTGAAGATCATTGATCACATTGATCACGGATCAGTGATCACAGATCATTGTGCTTCCTGTGATTCTGGTCTTGCAGAGGAAATATAAGAAAGGTCACAGCAGCTCAGATTTCTGTGGGTATTTCTGTGTCCTGTCTCAGCTCTGCCAGAAGAAATGACATCCCATTAAATGACCTCATCACTGTCCACAGCTCCCTGACAGGAGGTCGTAGCCAGGTGGAGGTTGTTCTCTTTTCCCAGGAAACCATCAGCAAGACAAGAGGGCATGGTCTTAAGCTGTGCCAGGGGAGGTTTAGGTTGGATATTAGAAAGAATTTCTTTCCAGAGAGGGTGCTCAGCCATTGGAATGGGCTGCCCAGGGAAGTGGTGGATTCTCTGTCCCTGGAGATTTTTAAAAAGAGACTGGATGTGGCATCAGTGCCATGGGCTGGCAATCACAGCGGTGTTGGATCAAGGGTTGGACTCGATGATCTCGGAGGTCCCTTCCAACCCAGCTGATTCTCTGATTCTGTGATTCTATGACCTGAAAGCCAGTATTTTCCTGGGAAATACGTAACTTCCGAAATCGTCTCCACAGGACTCTCCTCTAAAAGCCGTGCAGATGTTGTGGGTCAACCTAATCATGGACACCTTTGCCTCCCTTGCTCTGGCCACGGAACCCCCCACGGAGGCGCTGCTGCTGCGGAAGCCGTACGGCAGGAACAAGCCCCTCATCTCCCGCACCATGATGAAGAACATCCTGGGCCACGCTGTCTATCAGCTCACCCTCATCTTCACTCTGCTTTTTGTCGGTAAGAAATAGTTACACTTAGGTGATTGTTAGACTTGGACTTAATCGTTGCTTGGTTTAGAAGCCGTTGCGCGGCTTAACGCGTCAAAACGCTTTAATGCAGATTTATTAAGGCTTGTCTTAGTTGTACAGTTTGTTCATGGGGCTGGAGGCACAACAGATGGATTGGGTTTAGTCACCTTCCACGTGTGGTTACCTCAGTGAGCTTTTTTTGCCTCTTCACAAAACACAGATTTGGCAAAAGTTTATATCAAAACACAGCGGGGAAGAATGCGTTTTAATAGGAGTATCTAGGCCTGCTTCTATACTGAATTTTCATTTTGAGACCTGTTATCTGGAGTAGCCATGTAGCAACAAATTAAAAAAACCCAAAACCATAAAAGAAACCACAATAAAAACCAAGATCCATTTTACCAAGAGCTGGAGAAGCTCTAATGGGGAGCAAAATGTCTGCCATAGTCAAGAATAATGTTGATCTTAAGTAGTATAGAAGGCAAGTAATCAGTATTAAGTGATACAAATAACACTCTACTTTGACATTTAATTTCTAGAATGGATATTAAAAGGGGACAAAAAAATCTATTTATTAGATTACTGGATTCTTCTTCAGGCCTTGCTAGCAACGGATGCTTTTTATAGGTTGCATTTTGGAGAGGGGAGGGAAGGAGGAAGAATGTTTCTTGCTGCAGGGAATAGCAGGAACTAATAATAGATTCTGTTGCTCCACAATAATAAGTGAACTTGCTCAAAGGACTGATGATTTTTTCAGTTGGGTATTGTCTCCTTGTCGCTGTGTCATGGCTGTTAAATTGCATGTGTTGTCGCTCAGGGTACTTTTTTCCTGCATACACAGACTTCCAGATAAGCTGCAAATGGAAATTTAGGATTTTTAGGTTTTTGAGCTCCATTTTGAAAGTCTTGCTCCAGCTTATCACCATTTGGCAGCTTATTTGGACTGCTCAGAGGAGGTGATGGTCTGTTTGCACTGGAGTTACTTGAACCAAAATAATTGCCAGGTTTTTGAAGAGAGGTGGTCTGTAATACTGTTACACTCACAGTGTATTTTGAGAATGTCTAGCAAGCCTTAGGCAATTATAATATCAGATTCTCTAAAGCAGGTGTAGAAAGACTTGGTAATTCATGTGATATGAATCTTGGAATGAGAACTTCTGTGACCTTTATGGGAAGTTATAATGGCTTTTTGATGAGTTTTATGGTTTAAAATACTTTATACTGAGCCAGATGCAAAGAAAATCCAGCTTTTTCATCCTATTCTAATTTCCTGAGTGTCTCTGGAAAACTCATGCACACTTTGAAGGACACAGCCCAATCAATTTTCTGATAAGCCTAGGAAATAATCTTTTCCTTTCTAAACTCCAACAGGCTCAGCTTTGCAGTGACACGATGTTCTAAGCTCAGTGCTTTGATAATTAAACCCCAAACTAATGAGAATTATTTCTGTTTTGATCAAATAATGCTTCATTTTTTGTAGTAGGTTTCTGTAGAGACTAGTACATCAAGTTTTTCTCTTTTTTCTTATCGTGTGGCAGAAGTACCTTGTGTTTGAACATACAGTAATGTCTTGGAGGCATCAAGCACACCAGAAATCCAGAAGTCACTGCCTAGTCCCGTCAGGCTGTAGCATACAAAAAATCTTAACCTCAGTAACAAGGCATAATAAAGTAAAAGCTTTGCTGTAACACCTTTTGGAACAGGTTTGGAAATAAAAACTAATTATGGATTTAACCCCTGCCATTCCACAATAGCAGCATGGTCTTCTGTGCCAATTGAGTGATGCAGTGCAACAACAGAGACTTAAGGACAGGTGCCTCCACTGAGGGAGATATTCACATATTTGTGTTTGTGTGTGTATGGAATGAAAGCAAATAGATGTAATTTGTGTGTATATATTTGTGTGTATCTATGATAGATATCTGTCTGCTTTCATTAATTTTTTCCTTTATTGTTTATGTGTAGTAGGCAGAATGTTTCCAGTGCTTGGTTCCCTCTCTGGAGATGTATAGTCTGCTTAAAACCCTCTGCTCTCTCACAGTCTGTGTTGTGGTCTCACGCTGTGTTACTGACGTACTGGTGATATCACAGTCTGCTTTCTGTCAAAAGGCGATAAGGCAAATTCTCTCTCTGGAAACACCCTCATTATTCCCTGTGACTTGAACGTGAACTGCTCGAATATCCCAAGGCAGAAAAACACTCCCTGTTAACTTAGCTGTTGGAATTAACAGCCCTGGGAGAAACCCTGAGGAAACCTTTCTTCTTTCTGCAGAAATTCTGAATATAATGCCAGTGGGAGAGCAGAAAAACGTTCAAGCTTTAATTTGCTTTCATTAACAAAACACTGGTTATTAAAACTAGTGGTATTGTGATAATCTTCTGTACTCTTATTTCACTCATTATTTACACTTCCATGTGAATGGCCCATCCTTACATTAGACTCTCTCAATGGCTGGATGTCATCTGTGAACTTTTTGTATTAGAAAAGGGATGGAAAATGGGACATGAGACAGAATGTGCACTTGCAGCTCAGAAAACCAGTATTATCCTGGGCTGCATCAAAAGGAGAGTGGCCAGTAGGTCGAGGGAGGTGATTCTCTCCTCCCCCCTTGTGAGGACCCACCTGGAACACTGTGTCCAGCTCTGGTTTTAATCTGAAAGAGGAAAGGTTTGAATGGACACAAGGAAACAAATTTTTTTACAATGGCAGTGGTGAGACACAGGAACTGAATGCCCAGAGACACTGTGGATATTCCATCATTGCAAGTGTTGAAAACCAGGTTGGATGGGGCTTTGAGCAACATGATCTACTGAAAGATGTCCTTGCCCATTGCAAGGGGACTGGACTAGATGATCCTTAAAGGCCCCTTCCAACCCAAATCATTCTGTGATTCTATAAGAAAAGAGGTCCCTTGGGTGCAGGTATCTTTTCCAAACTTACCTCATTTTTTCAGTCATTCATCATGGGTTGTCATCTTGCTTTTTTATTGATCAGATCTTGAAGTGATAGTGAAATTATCAAAATAAAGAGCAATGCCCGATGCTCCTCAAACCCAAATCTATTTAAAACTATGAATCTCTGTGCTATTTATCACTGGTATCCTTGAACGGTTGTTATAAAAAGTTATACCACACTGGATTAGTGAATGGGTAAAACCTGCTGAAGAGCAGCTGCTTCGAATTACTGTAGAAAATGGCAAAAACACTGTCAATGGTTTTAAGTGCATCAGAAGGAACCGACTGCTTAGAACTATTACTGCTGGTTAGAGGAAGAGTACTACTGACACCTTTTCATAGGTGTACTGAGTTATTAGCTAAGAGTCATCATTTTGAGAAGCTTCTTGCTCAGAAAGTTTAGCTGTGTTTTGCTCACTGGTGCAGGAAGGAAGCTGGTAAAGCAGAGCACGGAAGGCGACTGAAGTAAACAAGGGAAATGCAAATCTCTTTAATTTATTCTGGTGGAAACTTTTGGTTTTGTCTTATACCCAGGTGAGAAAATGTTTAAGATTGACAGTGGGAGGAATGCACCACTTCACTCCCCTCCTTCAGAGCATTACACCATCATCTTCAACACCTTTGTCATGATGCAGCTTTTCAATGAAATCAATGCACGGAAAATCCACGGCGAAAGGAATGTCTTTGATGGCATCTTCAGAAATCCTATTTTTTGCACTATTGTACTGGGTACATTTGCTATCCAGGTAATGATTTGTAGCTTTTTCGGTGTGTGGTTTGTTTGGTTGGTTTTTTTATTTTAAATCTAAGTGCTGCAGGAGGGACATTTAATAGTGAACCACCTGCTTTCACAGATTTTTCTCAATCGATACAAGTGTTAATAACAGAAAGTGTTATGTTGCCCTATTAATCCAATACAAATTTTGATCATTATAACCAGGTTAATTCTTAAATTAATATTAGCATGTCCAGTAATAAGAGTCATCTTTATTTGTTGATATTATAACTTGTTTTTAAAGAAGAAATTATTCTATAGTGTACTAGCAGAGTGTTTTAGAGTTATTTACTACTACATGAATAGACAAATTTGCCTTCAAGTACCTGAAGCTGAACTGTTCTTCTGTTAAATGCCACTGCCAAATGCTCCTCAATATTCTCAGAAATCCTTCTTCTTAACAGCAATTCTTCATGTTCATCCCCTGAGTTTACTGTCCCAGTCAAGTATGAACATAATTAAAGTAATACATTTTCCCCAAAAAGTTGTAATTTTTCTCATGTGAGAACTCCAATTCCTCCTCTTGCTCCTGTGTCCCTCCATTTGCTGGCATCTTTCCTGTGCTTGATATATTTGATATTACCTTTTAGAAATCTTAGGGTTGAGCTATTTCTCTCCTGACATGGTTGCTCAGTTCTGCAATGGCACCCTGGAAACTCAGTATTGGGCCCTTTCTCCTGGAAGGAGTAACGAGGAGGATGGAGCTGTTTGAACCTGGGCTACAGTGGTTTGAAACAGGAAAGGGAAGCTACTCGGTAAAAATAAGTATTGGAGAAAGGACACCAGTGATAGGCAGTAGAACTTGGTAGTGATGATCCTTAGTTCAAAACCACAGGTTTAATACCATGAACTAAAATTCTGGCAGTTTAAATCTCTGGTTTGTGATGCCAAGTTTTGCAGTGGCACTACTAACAAGAAATATCAATAATATCTGATTTTCAGTTAGTAAAACCTTTTCAATCTGATGAGGATTACAAACCTGTTCAGATTCTCTACGCGTTGGTTATCCTGCTCCAAGGTGTGTGGTTTTGCCACCCTCTGTCTATCTATTATAGCACATCTCTAAGTGTGCACTCAGAGGGAAAAATCTGTTTTGCAATGGACATTCCAAAATGACATCAGGGTCAACACATCCCCAGCTGAGAACACTCAGGAACTGGAGAGTACAGTCCTGTTTTGGTCTTCCTGACCATTGTCAGATAGATATGAGGCTAAGAAAGCTTAGTCTGAACTGTTATGGCTTTTTCTGACCTTTAATTTAGAGTGCATAAGTTCATGTGGTTTGATTTTTTTCTATATATAGTGACTGAGATTCTGCACCTTCTTTTTTGTTCGTTTGGTTTTATTTTTTTTCCTTATTTGGTTGGTTCCCCTCCCCCCCCCAAAAAAAAATTACCTCCTTTCTTTTGTGATTTTCTTTGTAGATAGTAATTGTCCAGTTTGGAGGAAAACCATTTAGCTGTTCTCCCCTGCAGCTTGACCAGTGGATGTGGTGTGTATTTATTGGATTAGGAGAACTTGTATGGGGTCAGGTAAGTGAGCATTCAGGAACGTGCAGATTCAGAGCTCTTGATATTGTTCATAATCCTCCTGTACTGTGGTTTCCTTGATGTCTCACACTGTCATGGGTAGCACAGGCTGAAATCAAGCTCTCTGAGAACTTCAAGGATAGATCTGGTAGTAAATGCAGCTAAATTAATGTGTCATTTGAAATTTCTCCTGTATCCCGTGTCATCATTAGCTAATACATAATTATACATAGATATAAAAACAAACATCAATGAGATCATTAAATCAGTTGGGATTATCTGTCTGGGAGTAATAATACAAACACAATCACTATTGTTAAAATAGTACGTTATTCTTTTAAGTACAAACCCATATTGCAAAGTTAATAATAATACTTTTTTCATCTTTGAATGCATTATGAACGTATTTAAGTTGATGCCACCTGATACAGCAAAGAAAAATGTGAAGTTACACTTTTTTCTCTCAGATGTAAAGATACTTGTAGATCAACAGTTTGTCTTTATGGAGGAAGAGGAAAGAAATTGCCAACTGCAGCTGAACACTGATATGGTTCTGATGGACTTGTAATGAAGTGATGATAGATTTCAAAACTGATTTTTTACTCTCTTATGGGAAAAAAACCCAACTTTTTGGGCAGTTCAGTCTCATGTTTTTAAAGAAATCATCTCAGAATCAGAACATCTTTTAATTCAAATGTTGCTGAAAACCATCACAATTAGAGGGTTTACTGCAATTATCACCTGAAGATGGGATTTAAGTTATGATCTAGCAGGAGGAAGATCTAAAATTATAATCTTGGAAAGGAAAGATTGCTTTTTTCTTTCAACTGATTTGAAAATACGAACTTCCAGCTTTTGGAGAGGGGAATTAAAGCAGAGAGAGAGAGAAAAAATCCTTGCTGTTTTTTTTAGACCATTCAGCTGTGAAGAATTTCCCACAGCCTTTGATCAATGTACTTTTTAGCTTCTAAATTTTTTTATACATGGTTATTACACAACCACTGAAAACTAATAATAATATCAGTGTTTGTTTTCAATTTAGTTCCCAAGCCTTATTGCAAGATATTAGCCATTAAATTAACTCAAATATTGGAATATCTCAATGATTTTATCACTGAAAAGAAAGCAAATACACAGAAAAAAAAAATGTCTTTTGTGGTCAGTATTTAGTGACCAGAAAAGAAAAACACAAGCTAAAAAAATTACAATTCGTCCATATTTACATGAGTTACAGTCTTTGGCAAGTCCTCTCTTCATGGAGCTCTACTGTGAGAGGGACTTCTTTTCCTTTAGAAATGCTGCTTTTCTTCCTGCTCATCCTTTTCTTCCTGCTATGACTAATTCTAGTTCAGCACAAACCAAATTTGTTACCCTTTTTTTTTTTTTGAATCCACCTCCTGAACTTGCTGTTCTTATGAACCACTAAACCAATCAAGATTTTTGAGTTTCGATGTCAAAGTTGGCACTTTTAAAAGCAATTTAAGGTGTATAGTTTTTAGGAAGTCAGTCTGAGATGCTTTGAGGGGCAGTTTTCTGACAGATAGCCCTCATCACTTCTGAAAATCGAGACTTTCCACGATATTTCATGCTACATTTCCAGAATTATTCATCACTTTTTAAAGCTGCAATGATTTTTTTTTCTGGGAATAATATTTAGTTCCTTAATCTGCATCCAGTCTGTTGAGTCTGCCATTACCTGAACTGGGCAGATCTGGGAAATCAGATGAACAAGCAGCCGTGTAAGCACCCTAAGAAAAGAATTAGAGAAGAATTTTATCTTATCTTGTCTTATCTTGGTTGAGAGAGGTCATGAAGGAGAGGTTTTTTCTGGGGCACAGAATCTCTGCCCAGTACAGTTGTTTCTGTGTGTATTGGCTTGAAAGTGCTTCATCACCATCAGCTTCATCAGATCCCAAAGAGCCTCAAGTAGCTTCTCTCTGTAGTGTTTTCAAAGCTGGGGAGCTGAAGGCCTTTCAGTAAGTATTTAAATCACCAGCACTTACCTTCTCTTTTCTTTCTCCTCTTCTGCCTTTGCTCCTGTCGCATCCATTCATCAATTTTCCAAGTTTGCATCTTGTTTTTCAACCCCCAAAATTCATTTTAAAAAGGTCATATAGTAGTGCAGAAACTGGTTTTGGTTTGGTTTTTTTTTTTTTTCTTTTTTTTCTTTTTACATTTCTTTCGCTGTCTTTAAAATTAATATTTAAAAAGTGGACTCGTGGATGATGAAGTTCAAGGGAGACCCTCAGCAAACTCAAAGGTTTATTTTCACTCTGCAAATATTTGGTACCTTTTCACATGTCTTCACTGTACCCATTCCAGTTTTCCAAAACTGTCCTCACCAACTTTGCTGCAACTGTCTTGATTCTCTCTTCATCTTTCATATATCTGGGCTTCAGAGATGTGATTTCTGAACTGCTGAAAGGAAGACAAACAGAAAAGAAAATTGCAGCACTTTTTTGCTAAGTGGGTCTGATAGTTAACTTTGTAGATTTACTTTAAGTGTTCAGCATGTTCCAGGTAATGTCTTGTTTAAAGAGCCAATTTGTTATTCAAGCCAACAAAAGAACACTGAAATGTTCTTTTCTGAAATGGATTTAAACAACACTGAAATGGATTTAAAATAATTGTGTTATTGCAATGTCTAACTACAATATTTGCAATTTTTTAAGATTATTAGCTATTTCCTGTATTAATTACTTCCAAGGACCACTTGGGTGGGCAAACAGAATTAGAAGAGGGGTTGAGCTAATCAGAATTTAGTAGTAATAAGGACACAGAGTAAGACACAGCCCTATAAAAAGTCCAACAGGGAGACAGTCAGTTCCACACCTTCCAGAAACCTCAATTTTGACAAATGCCAGGAAACCCATTTCAACTTGCTAAAACAAAGGGAAGCTGAATCCATGAACCAACGTGGTGTGAGAAGATTCATAGGCATGAGATGCAATGAATTTTCAGCTCCCTTTAACATAAATCACTATAAATGCCCAAACTCTAGTTACTGCAGTATCAATCTTGCAAACTTTTTTCCCATTACATTAAAATACTTTTCTTTTTTTTTTTTTTTTAAGAAAAAATGACAGTTTTCCCAGCCTCCAACTTGCTCCACAGCTGGGTATTGCCAATGTGGTTTAATGTGGCTAATTGTTTACACAGTCAACTAAGTATTTCTGGACTAAAATGGAGTTGTATGAGTGTAAAGTACCATTAGGACTCAACATTCCTGGAAGATTATTGATCTTATTAAAATATCATCGCTCTTTTTTAATGAACGTATTCTTATACTGTTGTTATCGAATGAGGCTTATGTTTTCAGTATTTTTTTATAATTTTAGGTCATTGCAACCATCCCAACAAGTAGGCTAAAATTTCTAAAGGAGGCAGGGAGGCTCACTGAGAAGGAGGAGGTCCCTGAGGAAGAACTCAATGAGGATGTTGAGGAGATCGATCACGCGGAGAGAGAACTTCGACGTGGACAAATTCTCTGGTTCAGAGGCCTCAACAGAATCCAAACCCAGGTATGCTAAAAGGAAGTGCCCACATGGTCACAAAAACCCCAGAAAACAAACCTAAAGAAACGCTTAATCTGAGATGAAGGCAAGATAAATGTGGAAAGGAAAGCCCCCAGAGCGTTTGTGTGCGCGAAGGACGGTCCTTGTGAGTTTGCTTGGCTGTTCTCAAAGGAGGAACACGCAGAAAATAAAACAGGTGAACTGAACAGAGGAGTGTTTGTACAGCAGGAAAGGTAAATTGACAAGATCATGAAATGATAACATGCAAAAGTAGGAATATGTGTTTTGGGGATGCTGTGAATGGACGTTCATGTTCTACTTCAGTGATGACAAGACATAAAATAGTGCTGGAAAACATCAGCTGTGATAATGTTATGAAGGCTTTCTAAAACACAGGGTTTTATTTTGTCAAAAATATATTGTTGCTGCCATTTCTGCAATAACAGAGTAATTTAAATTGTTGAGTCTGAAGTATGAAGTACCATTTGATTAAAAAAAAATAAATCTATTCTGTTCTGGCACCACCACACATATATCATGATTAAAAGGAATTGCTTTTCTTTCTTATTAGGTAGTGAAAAATGTGAGTTTGGATTTGTTTTTAGTAGGAAGGGCCTAAGAATCCATTAAATATTGAGGAGTATGTGTTGGCTGCTACAGATGATTTCTTAGAAATATCTATCCTCAACTTTTGCTAAATACAAAAATCCACTTTGCACTGAATCATGGTGCTAAATATAGTACAGATTACCTTAGCTAGGAAAATTTGTCCTGGAGTGCTCAAAAATTATTTGAGTTATTTTGCCTTTTCCATTGCAGTGAAATAGTGTTTTATTGCACTCAGGTGTGCTCTGCTTGATCTTTTTAAAATCAAGTATTTCTGCTGGCTTGCAGAAGAGAGCAGATATCAGCTGTGAGTGTTTTACGTGAGGCTTAGGAAGAAAAGAGGTGAAGGATTAAGATTTTTTTTTTCTTTAGAGAATCTTCTAAACAGCATTTTCATCTCAGAAGATTTGGGGGTTTGTTGTCATCCAAGATAAACAGAACATTCTGTTTTTTTCCCCTCTGCAAATTGACACCCTTTTTTTTTTTTTTTTTTTTGGGAAAAAGATGCAGCCATGTATTTCAGAAAAAAATATGGAAAACATTAGGGCAGTTGGGTGTCTTTGGTGCATCCACAGAGCATAAAAGAGGGTGGAAACTGGTGGTAGAGAGATTAAGGGTTTGGGAATTTCCCAAGGTTCTGTGGTAAGTGATTAAATACGGATCTTCAGTTTTGGGGGTTGTGTGTCTCGACTCCTTTAGTCAGGAGCACTCGTCATCAGAGAAAATTCAAATTGTCCCAGTGTAGAGGTGACAAACAGGTGTCCAGGTAATGGTGATCCTTATGAAAAGATGATCTCTAAATGTGCATTCTTTTCTTCCTGGTGGCTCTAGGAGCAGTGTTGTCTGTTGGCATTTCTGTCAGGATGTCTTTCTGGTTGTGGTGAGTGTAAACAAGCACAAAAAACCAAATTACATCCTTTCAGTTCTTTTTCTAGTCTGAGAGGTTGCTTTTAGTTCTGCAAATCTTTGTCCACTTAATTCACGGATAAATTTTTCTTTTATACTATTTAAAACATAATGAACAATAATTATATTCCTTTGCTAACATCCATCTTCTTAGTTTCCTTTCTGCTCTTAGTCGTAGAAGTACCTTCAGTAGGATTTCTTGCTTCTCTGCCAAGAAGCCTCTGTGATTATTTTTATTTTTGTCTCATTTTGTTTACTCGATGACTGATTTTTACATCCATTTCACATTTGTGGAATGATAATGAAAAAAAAAAAAAAAAAGGAAATGGGACAGCAGATTCAAAAATAGTCCCAAGGTGTCCACTGGAGAGTGATGAACTTCCATGCAGGTCAAATTAGACCCACTGTTGGATGGACCTCGAGTTGAGCACATCCTCGTGTGCTGTGTGTTGTGGCCCATCCCAGTGAATTCATACGCTTGTACTACGTTTCTCAGGAAGCCAGCTAAAGAAGAGTTGATGGAAGAAGATGAGGATGTCTGTAGCATCCTTGGGGAGCTGGAGGATTTGCAAGAATCCTCTGATGCCTAATACACTGCTGGAGATGCGGAAGAAGAAGGTAGAGCATCCCCTCACTTTGTATCTATATGAGGATGACAGTAAGACCAGCAATAAACTCTAGACTCACAACTAGTTTGATCATTCAAATCCTAATAAGACCAGTTTCCACCATCTTGTGCTGTAAATTAGATTATTTTTGCTTATTTCTCTATTCAGTCATTACTGGACAGAAAGCCACAGCACCCAACAAAAGCCTTCACTCCTAAAGCAGTTATAAAGAATCTACAGCAGTGCTGGAGTTTGTTTTCAGGTCTCCAATGAAAACTCATCCCAATGGACAAAACTTTGCAGTCTTAAAGACATTTCTGTTTTACATCTTCTCTCAAAACAGAGGGTCCAAACCTAGAGAAGGGATTTCCACTGGGATTCTTCACACTGAAATGTCAGACATGCACCAATATACTTTAAAGAAATGTGTATGAAAACTGCACAGAACCAAGTCAGGGACTGGCTATTGACTTCTGATTTTCTTTTTTGTCTACTTTTGGTCCTTCAGATATTTTGTTGTGTTGTAACTACACTAGAGGGATTCCCTGGATGGATGTGTGTTCTCCTCTGAATGGAAGAGTGTTTCCTTACTAGATAGTTCTCTCAGAAGACCACTGACATGTGAAGTTTCACAAATGGCTCATCTTAGTTATGCAAGTTTGAGGGAGATATAGAGGCGGTCTGAAGTTCCATAAAAGACTGGACTTTTCAATCTTTGCTACTTTTCAGCAACTTTGTGTCCCAAGTCTTTGTTGCAGTTCTCACAAACTCTTCATTCTGAAGGAAGAGGCAAGACTGAGCCTTTGGAAAGTTCACCAGGTTCACTTGAGGCAAAACTGCACAATCTGAGTAACATCCAAAAACCATTGCATCTTTTTTAATTGTACACTGACAATTTTCTCTTGTCACCTCACATTTGAGAATGGAAATTTTCTGGAGTGTGGAGATTAGAAAACTTTTCAAGTTAAATGTCAGATTTTTACGACACCGGTCTGATTCTTTCCTCCTCTGCTTCATTCATCCTGTAATTCAGTTTGTTTTATCTGCATCAAGTGGGAAATAAGTGTCTAGAAACGTTTTGAGAATAAAAAGGAAAACTGAAAAATATGCAGGTGACATGTTAACAGCTCCTTAAACAAAGATCTTTCCTCTTCAGATACTAAAAAATACATAGAAGTGCTGTACTGCATTTTTTTCCCCTTCCTTTCTACATTAAAACTTTTCTCTTGAGCTAATGCAAACCCTCTGGCAACAACTGTCACTCCTGGCAAGTGGTTCTGAAGTTAGATAAAAAGCTAGCACCTCATTTTATAGCTTTTAATATAGAAAACATCGCAGTAGCCACATGGAAGTGGAATGGAAGCTGTTTTATTTCATGCTGAAAGGTTTCTGTTTGATTTTCTAAAAATTAATATCCTGACTGGACATGAGGCGAATGAGACCTGGGTCCTATTAACATTAGTGACAACAGAAATGCTTTGTTAAAATGAATTCTTCATTAAAAAACAGAAAAAAAAGCTTGTTCTGCCAGGATTATTCCATCTAGTGTGAGACCGTTCTATTTTTTTTTTAACTGCTAATCACTGATATTTTTATTAGCCATGCACACCTAAAATATGTGGAGCTTCTAGAGCATAGAACATACAGAAAAATGACATGGGTGTGAAAAATTTCAGCTTTACAAATAAGCTTCAGAAGTAGGACAGGACTTTTTTTTTCTCCACCTAAAGGCCTATAATCAAAATACTACTGCATCCTACAGTGTGTTGGAAACTTTTTAAACTTTTCGTGATGTGTGACTTATCATTTACTTTCTTCTTTTTAGCAACTTGAATTACTCTAAATAAGCACATTCCTTTGTAATTAAACAGTTGCATCTTAATTTAAAATGCACCATTCATTTCCATGAACTCTTTCTTCTTTGTTATTTTCTTGTTTGAGAAGAGAAACTTTTGGGCCAAGTCCTTCTCCTCTTTCTTGGCTTCATGCAGAATAAAGCCCTTGAATGTTCAGCTTTTAAGATTCTGGAAAGGTTGTCATCCTCCCACTGTGAATTATATTCACGAAGAACTGTAGTTACTTCCTTCAGGAGAACAACTAAATTACATGCCTGTAATTCTTGTTCTCTGAAGAAACCATTAAATGCAGATCTTCCCTTATCTTTTCACTCTAATCTGAGGTCTTTCAGTCTCTTAGGAAGGCATTTGTACATCTAGAACTGCCCTTTGGCTCAGGATTTATCATCTGTGTCTTCCACACACTTCATGCTCTCAGTGGGAGTCTTTAAAATCTTTTTTGAATGGTCTCTTTTGAAGAGTGCTCTGTCACCTGTGGTAGGTCATGAAAACCCAAGATCTGTATTTAATTACACTTTTGTACACTGAGCATTTCAGGTGAGTATTTAACATGCCATACAATCAATGGTTTGAGCCATATGGGGTTTTTTTCTAGATGCCAGTGTGAACCTTAGTTAATGATTCCCTTGTACCCCTATTCCATATGCTAACTCACCTCGTTGTACTTTTTTTTTTTTTTTTTTTTTTTTTTTTTTACTGTGAGTTTTTTATTGGACATGTAACTCTGCTGCCAAAACCACTCCAAGTGTTGTGGTGACTGCTTAATGCTGTACAACTCTTGAGTGTGCACATTGAAATGGGTGTGGTAAACTGGGCTCAAACAGAGGGGCAGTGAAAAAATCGTGTAGGAAAAGTCCAGTGTGACCATTTTACAGCAGTAACCTTTGATCCCTTTTACAGCTGTTTAATTTCCCTTACAGGAAATTAAACAATGAGGTCCAAAGATTAGATTATGGGAAGAGACACATCCTTACTAGTAAAAAAGCAGCCATACCAACTGGTTTAATCCTAAAATTGACAGCAGAAAATA